GCCGGTCTGGACGCAGAGGCTAGAGGAAAAATCCTCTGCCCCTGTCGGGGATCGAACCCCGGCTGTCCAGCCCGTAGCTAGTCACTATACTGACTGAGCTATCCCGGCTCATAATGTGTATACCGTAGTTGGCTTTTTAAGAGGGGCCATTTTTGATAAATTTTTTGACGATGCCATCAGTTCTTCAAACTATATAGCGTCGAATGATAGACTGATTGATGAATAATAAATTTGAAACCATGTAGAAGGAAGCGGTCGTGTGTCAGATTAAAGTTCTATCGCAACGAAAAACCTCAGACAGAGAGACGTTCTCCGGACTGAGATAAGAACCCGGGACCTCTCTATCGCGACATTCGGTGCAGTTAATTGTAACATGTGCCGTATCCGTGTGTCATTTGTTTTCAGTAGAAAGCTTTATGGAAAGGTCATAAGTGTGTTTCTTTCCTGTTTGTGATTTGTCGTAGTGGCTCTGAACAAGTTCCCCTTCTTCACTCAGTAGCAGCTTATGTCTGGCTGAGTGCTATCATGCACGTCCGCCACTATTTCGTCTACTCTTGCCTCACTATTCCGGTATATTTATACTATACAGTGGCCTTCAGTTGGCCATGGTAGGTAGAGAAGCACTGTCGGCGAGCGAAAGCAGGCTGCAGACAAGCTCATGTTCCGTGTCGTACTCTGTTCTGTTGGTACTATAAACGTCGATGTTTCATAGCAGTATTTTAGCTGAATGTCGTCCATAAATAATTGTCATAGTAAAGTAATTGAAGGAAATATGGCAAATGCAGGAAATATAGCCAAGTTGCTGTCATACTTTCACAGATTGTCAGCAGAAATCAGCGCCATTAGGTCACGAACATCGGCGAAATTGTGTTTAGTGAGACAGTCGCCAACTGCGAGACATTGCTTCTTGTTATACGTAATATGAATGTCAGAACAGAGGAAATACCTTGCATCTGACGTTCAGGACACAAGTAATATGCCATTAATCCCCATAAACAGTAAATGTATTAATTTGCTTGGAGCTAAATCGTTGGTGAAATTTCTGTACATTTATATGGTATAACTGGGTTTCATGACATTCTTTGTTAGACCACCTCCTGGCAGAGATAAAAAGAAACATACCATGTGCAAGTTACATGACCAACCTTGCCCAAAAACTAAAGATTATCTTCGTAAGCAAAAAAGAATTACTAATGCGATTAGATGGAATGTACAAGCTTGAATGAATTCAAAATTTTGACGAAAAAGAATGCAGGTGAAGTTTCTTCCGTCACATCACTTTAAATTAAAAATACGAGACTTTCTGTTGCTACTTTTAGGTTATAAACGTAAAATAAACCGTAATAATGTTTTAAAACGTCGTGTGTTTAATTGTCTTATATTTGGGTTTACATTTCAGTTGGCCATATTATTTGCACTGTGCAGGTAATATGGACGAAAGCACATCTTTCAGAAAACAACCCTTTTCTGGCGTTCACGATGAAAGACAAAGGTTAAAATATTTTCAATGTAGCTAAATGAGTGTTGTAGTAGATACATATATCGCGTCTGTTTAAAAAAAAAGATTAATATTATGAGAAAATAGGAAAGCTTAGCATGATCATATTTCATTCAGATACCTTATTAGGGTTTTGTCAAAACAAATCAGGTGAAGATCAGTTAAGCACCCGGCACTAAATGGGAGTGAGTGATTAGCCCCCAGTACACATGGGCTGTGGGTTATGAGAGCCTCAGAGCCGGTCTGGACGCGATGACGAAAAGAAAAGTATGTGCCTCCCCCGGTATCAAACCCCGGTCATCTAGTCAGGAAACCGACTGAGATGTCCCGTATCCTTATAAACACTAATGATATAATTATTAAGTAAGTAGGTAGAGTACCCATCCTTTGCTTAGAGTTCTTAAATTAAACTCTATGTTTACTGAACTAGTTACACGAAAAGATGTGATGTTACGCATCATTATGCCAAATAAATTCGTAGTTTATGCTTCTAACTACTGTGTAGGTCTATTTTAGATTAATCTTATACACCACTTTTAATTCAGTACATAAACAATATAGACTACGATAGGAAACTTAATTTATCGTGTTATAGCATCGCATAGGTTGGGAAAGTACCTTAAATTAGGCCACGACCACTTACTTTCGCATTCTTCTAAATTCTTTATTCATCGTATCATTTTGTAGTGTCAGGTGCTGAGCGTGTCGTTAAACAAAACACAGAGTAAATGTTACATAAATATTTTTTCTGTTATTTAGCGTCATGTGGCCATGATTATTATCGATATTTGCTTCTAAATGTTTTTATGCTTGGCTATACCAAAACGTCTTTCTGTAGGAATTTACATCGTCAACACAAAACATTCGGCAAGAAAACTCTTTTTCAAGATTTTCCATCTCTGCCATAAGACATATATCCTGAAACTAGCAGGACGCCGTATTATTGAAGTCTTTCGCCAAGTAATCGCCAACTTCCTTATATAAGGCTAAGTGTGATTTGTTACGCACACAAAGGAAATATTTGAAGTTAGTTCTGTGAGCGTGGCATTGAGCCGGTTCCAAGTGCGAATGAGGTGTAATAATGCCGAAGTAATTAGATTAAGAAAGAGAGAGCAAGTGTAGTATAACTGACTTCGTAGAGTCGAGTTCTTAAGAAGCCAGTAGACGCCGATCTGGTCATGAAATTACCCGTCTTTTATGGAACGAGAAGGTTAATTAATTCGTTCACAAGAGATTGCCGTTTTAATATTGTCTTCCCATGTGTATTCAGGTCTCCTAGTTTGTCTATCGCACTTCATGCAACAGGGTTCTTCTTGAGAAGCTGTAACTCACTCACCTAGTCAAAAAATGTCCTGCCTTTCATGGAATCCGAAGGTTCAGGACCGTGTTCACAAGAGCCCATTCTGAGCCAGTTTAATCCAGTCCATGCATCATACTCTGCAGTTAACAGATTATAGAGGAATAAATTGACTGTTGCACATGATAGCAAATGGCTGTCAGCATCACATCTCCTCTCTCTTCACTCCGTACTGCTCACTGGAATAATCGATCTATTTAGCAGGATTTTGCGTTTCTCCCCCTCCTGTTCCCTCGCGGTACAGCGGTTGAGTGACGTTTCTAACACATTGTGATTTAATCAACATGAAGCTGTCTCAACTACATAGGCATTATGTTGGAATGTCAACTGGAAGAGGACTCAGGTCTGTTACGGCACGGGTTTTGTGGTCGTCTGTCATTATCGTTGGTTTGCTTGACTGCTAGTGGGTGGTTTCTGAGGATAAACAGTTTGTAGGAATTGCACGTCTTTGCATCCACTTTCTTCCTCTGTCTACAGAAATTCTCCAGCCTGCATGTCTTCTTCTACTTAGCGTCAACAGAGAAGTTTGTGAACATTCTCAAGGTCGGTATGGACTGCAAGCTGCCAGAAATTTGAGTGTTGAGGATAATATTAGGACCAAAGATCTCTGGAATAATCCAAAGATGGTAAAAAACATAATTAGGGACTTATAATATATACTGCTCAACAGATATTGTTAGGGCGATCAAATTAATTCGCCTCGTGTGTGCGACTGGGAGATAAAAAATGCATACAAAATATTAGTCGGGAAATCTGAAGGAGAGAGGCCTCGTGGGAGACCTAGTTGTGGATGGAGAACTGTAACAAGAGTTTTATGATTAAGAAGTACGTATGAAGTTGTGCATCCACTGGATTCAATTACCTTAAGGCAGGATTTAGTGGTGGGTTCTTTGGGTTCCATAACAGACGGTGATATGTTTATCATCTGAGCGATCATCTGTTGCTGAAGACAGACTCAGCCACTCTTCCCCGTGGTGTGAGCGTGTTAGAAGATATCCCAATTTATTCTCTGTTGTCTTGTCGAAAAGAATAGAACCAGTACGACTTTCGTAGTTCTGTGCACCCTTTCATAAAATCCACGTGTCCAATTTGGTGTTTGTGTGTCAGTTCCTAGATATAAAATTGCATAAATGCATTCATTTTGTTAGGAGGGGGGTTAATTGTTACATTTTTAATGCTAATTTTTATTAAATATTTTGTTCCAGGCCCAACTTACCGAGCGACTGACAGCCCAGATCGAATATGTGGAAAAGGTAAAATGCGAAATTAATAGGCTGTGACGTCACATAATGGCCTCGTATCATCTTCAGTGCTTGCAGCAGATGAACGCTGCTTCGTACCTGTGGGTAAATGCCGTCTTCCGCTGAATTAATTAGTGACGTATGCCTTTCTATACTTCTGCAGTATCATAGCACCACAGAAATATGTCGTCCTTTCTGTGACGTTTGATCTAACAGTGTTATAATAAGAAGACTATAAAATTCTCCATCCTGAAATGTTGATACGGTCACAAAGATATTGGACTGTGGTTGTAGTGAGAAATTAGTGCGTGTATTTCCATTAACCCGTCGTGCATTGTCATTAAAAAATATGGGCCCATTATTAGCTACTGTGTACTGAATGAAGTCTGCTTACACTGTACATAGGTGTCTTTTGATTATAATTCAAAAATTAAAGGCAGGAGCCATAGTATATTCGAGCACAGTGTGTATAGTAAATACGCGAACTTTTCAAACCAGACCGTGAAAGAGTGGATATAAACACATTACAAGAATAACGGTATGTCGTTGTGACTTGAATAATTACTTAGGTTAAATAAGTCATCCGTTTGTTTTTTTTGGGTGTAAATTTGTGGAACTCATTTCGTATTGCGTAGGTTAGGTACAAAGGGTAACACCAAATCGATAAATATACTTGTCGATGCTGTATGTTTTCGTTGTAATGAGTACGTTTTATCAGTAGTGTTTAACCCATATATTCAAGGGTGACCGAGGATTAACACCAACCACCAGTGTAGGAGAATCACGTAATAACATTCAACACTGAGCCAGCATTTTTGAAGTATTACAGGAAGTGTCAGGCTAGAATGGAATCGTTTCCCATATCAAGTCATAATGACTGGACTTCTAGGACGTTACGTATGTTTCGTTAACTTTTTGAGACTTGTGTACGGGTGAAAGGTGTTGTAATTAGGTTTTATGATCAGTGGTGTTTTGTTGAAATGCGTGTACCGCCCCAGCGATCTTCTCGCAGTAACACTGCAACATCAGCCACTTCCGGTGGTAAAAGGTTATCAACATCCATATCAGTTTCCGGTAATCCTGCATTGTCCGTCAAGAAGCGGAAGTTGCAGTCTGAGACACCTTCAGGAAACAAAACTTCGTTTAAAACTACTTCTGTTGGTGATGCTTCAACATCTGACCAACATTCCAAAAGAAAACAACCACTGCCACAAATTAAAAAAACGTTGCATCATTTTAAGAAACGTGATGCTGCATTACTTACAAAATCATTGAAATCCAATATCACTGCAAAGAAACCGCATTCCAATAAAAGTAGCAATGTGCCGTTGGTGGGTTTGAAGAAAATAAAGTTTAAAGAAGGTAGGCTCACTATCAAGAAAATATTGGTGACTTCTTCAGAATCTAAACCGCAAAAGAAGCTGGCGAAACCTGCTACTAAAACTGCACCTACAAAGAAACAAACAAATAATAGCAACAAGAAAGTGATTTCTGCTGTCGAATCTTTGTCGGTACCGCCCGTCGCTGAAGACCAAGCTCCTGGTGGTAGCAACTGTGGGAAGTACTCCAGCGAGACAGAAGATAAGCTGTCTGCTTTACAGAAGAAGACTCAGTATAGAAACCAGCCTTCATCCAAACAAGTCACCAAGAAGGCCAAGACTGTTATTGGGAAAAGTAAGAGCTCTGCCTTAATTTCTGCCCCTGTTCCTTTTACGCGGACCAAGAAACTCGAGCAGAAACAAAAAGTAAAAACTGTTAAGAAAATCTGTCTGAAAACGTATCCGGTAACAAGACACGTTATGGTTATGCACGTTGAACAGGAAGCTACAGCAGGAGGAAAGAAGAAGGTCCCGACTAGGAGGAAACAGATAACTGGCGAAGACACCGGAGGTAACGATACATCAAGTCATGTGACTAGTAAGACAAGCGGTTCACCAACATGTGACAGGCAACTAAGTGGTGGTGCCGGCGACAATTTGGAGTCGAGTAATCACGTAACGTCGCAGGCGCCAGAGAAGATTGTCAGTAAAGGAAGCGCAAAGAAGGCCAAAGATGAGGAAAGTGCAATAAAGGAGACCGATAAGAAGAAGGTAGCAAAAAAGAAACCAAAGACGGAAAGCGCAGGAAAAGGAAATGGGACAGGGATTGAAGATAAAGTCGGTGTTATTATATCTGTACCTACCAAAGACAAGAGTGAAGTGTCAGTTCCAAAGAAAGAAGGTAAGATTGGAAATAAAGATGATTCCACGTCTAAAGTTAAGTGCGTGAAGAAGAAGAAGAAGAAGCCAAAACCTACAGACGCGTTACTTTCAAAGGGAAAACCCACAAAAAAGTCACCAGTATTAAAAAACCCTAAAGTTATATCTACGAAGGCAAATAAAATTAAAATGCCGAAAATTACGTCCAACACAAAAGTTGTTAAGAAACAACAACAGTCAAAGAAGAAGGAACCCAGACCCGCCGTGAAAAATGTCGTAACGAAGATCCAATTTTCAGCGGACTGTCCCGTGGATGCTAGACAAGAAGAGGAAGTGAAGCAGCAGGACGATGATGATGATTCGTCCACGTCGGACGAGATTACCTTAGATGTGCTGTTTCTACGCCAACAGCAGATGAAGCAGGAGAAGGTTATGAGCGATGAACTTCCCTTTGGTCAGCGGTATCAGTGTGAAGGAATAAGCGGCCCGTCTTCCCTCATTGACACCAGTAAGCAGGTAACTGCTCAAAATGTTGAAATCAAACCTTCACTGCCAATGTTAGCCTCTGTTAAGGTTGAAGAACCCGTTCCCAACCTTCCTGTTGATACTTTGTCACCTTCGACCATTAACACTTCGGATGATGAAGATTTGAAAAGTATAAAGAATCGCATTAAGATTAAGCTAGAAGAAGATAATACTGAGATTGGTAGAGAGAAATTGTCTGCTCAGTCTGAAAAGAACACAAAGAAAAAAATGATAACAGCAAAGTTAAGGAGTGACGACAGTTTTACAAATCGAGGGAAAAGTGAGGATGTGAATATAAAGAAAGAGGCAAAGGATGAAACAGAAAATAAGAAAAGTGATTCCGACGTTAAAGTTACAAGTGATAACCGCGGCAAGGAGAGGGTTAAGAAGCTGCTCAGCGTTAAGCGTTCGAGGGTCGATGGCGGAAAGAATGGAGGTAGTGGGAGTGATACTGAGCAGCGGGCCCGGCGGATGAAGCTGTTTGGTTTCTGGAGCGGCCCGAAACGCCATCGCGTGGCGTCGTTAAATGCACTGGCCAAGGTGCATTGTCTCTATGAGAACGAAAGTCGAGGTGCTTTGCTTGGTATCTGCGGTACCAATGGAGGAAGTAGCCGACGTACTTCGAAACCACCCCCATCACCAGAAAACGACACCGTCATCCCTACGAGAACTCTGCGTTCAGCGCCTGGACTGCGAGGGATGGGTAAACACTGGGACATGCACAACGCGTCTTCGACATCTTCGTCTTCGCCATCGTCTGATGACAACGAAAGTAATAGCAGTTCTTATATAGCACGCCATGCCGCTCCGCCTGTATCTTCAAAACAGAAACGTCGACAGCCGAAAATGGCGACGTCTACTGCAGCCTGTAGCATTAAGAAGAAATCAAAACAGATCAAGAACATGAAAAACGTTGTTAAACGACGAAGGAATAGGTGCGAGCTTATGATGGATCTTAAAGACATGGTCGTTAGGAAGAGGATGGCAAGTCTAAACGCGTCAGCTATCCTGGCTGCTAGCTATTCGGTGGAAAAACGCGCCGTGAAGAGTGTTAAAGAAGATTGTGGGACGGCCGTGGGCGCAGATTCCAGCGTCAACAGCGTCCATCAAGTAAAGAAGAAAACAAAGAAACGCTTGGTGACGAAGAAGATTGTGGAAGTTGAGGATGACAGCAGTAGTATCAGTAGCGAAATAGAGATTGAAGAATGCGATGTGGGTGGCAGAGGCAGTACCAGAAGTGTCATAGAGGTCAGAACTACGCCCAGCGGAGGTCCGAACAGTAACAAGAAAGTAGCTGTTATTGTTAACCAGGACACTGACGTGACCATTACTGGAGTTTACGTCAACAGCACCACAAGATCCACCCACCACGAAGGGTATCGCATCTCGTCCACCAGTCATACCCAGACGGAGGCCACCGCCGTGGCCACGGAAACGGTGCTTCACTCTTCAGCCGCTACAGAACACGTGAGTTGACAGCTACTTTTCGTGCATGCTATTGTAGACGTCACCAGTTTGCAAGCTACAAGGCTGCTGAAGTTTGGCTTTGCTAGGGTGAGAGTTATATATCATTATTGATATCTTTCTTTCTTTTTTATAAACTTTAAGTTCATAAGGAAAACTGAATATATTTTTTCTGATAGCTGGTTTACGCAAAAAATTACTTACGTTTTTCTCAAGTTTATTGACAATACAAAAAAAATGAAATCGAACTGCCTGTTCAAGAGACCTCATACGAAGGTTTTCATTCACACAAAAAATTAACATAAATAACCAATATCGTATATAACACATATAAACAGAACGAAAACAGATAATAACTACTACAATAACTAAATCGTTTATTGACAATGTTAAAAAGGCATAAGATAAATCAAAGTAAAATGTCATATGAACAAATATATGTGTCAAGAAAATGTTATTTTTGAAGCCAATTTAAATAATAAAATTTACTTGAATCACTCGATGATACGTGAATCCACCACGTAGAGCTCCTGTACACTGACCACTAAAGGCGGTTTCACGCTGGCGCCGTATAGACGTCGCTAAATATATTTCTTATGATTATTATATTTCTAAATGACATAACAGGTTGAAGACTTTATTATAATACCCAAGAATTTTCCGAGAATATGTCGTACGTGTATAGTAAAATTACGAATATGAAATTAAACATAAAAATGACTCAAAAATACATTTACATATGATTAGCCTATTCATCACTATTTCTCGCGGAACCCCCGGCGATTGCTCACGGAACTCTAAGGTTCCGGGGAACCCCGGTTGAGAAACGCTGACCTTTAAGGATGCAATATGGTGACATTTGCAAAAAGTGTGTTCTCACCATTTAGTAAAAGACTTTTGGTCTTGCTTATGCCACAATCTTGATTAATTTTCTTTGTTGATCCTGGATTTTATGAATAATACTTCTGACGGAAGACTACACATCCAATTGAAACTCTTGGCTTAATTCCATAACCGGAAAGTCACAGAATTTGCGAACAGTAACCTTTTAAATGACTCGATTGCTCGTTGTAGCACTTTAGGAAGGCAGGCTATAGAAAATCTGGACTCCAGATTTTCATAATATTTTTGTCACATAAGACCATTGAATTTTTTGAAGTAACCACATACGTTGAAAAAATGTTCGTATTTTGTTTCAGTAAATTTTAGAACCGAGTGAAAGTTATTAATACGTCCTTTTAATTCTTGTTCCATATAAATACCCCTCCAACAAAATCTTTAAACAGCTTTTTGCAGTGGACCCATCTGATAAGCTGTACAGTTTAACCCCATGATGGAAGCAGGGCCAGCTTCCGAAATGCTTTTTAATATGTTCACTAGTGTGCACCAGTTTAATGACACGTCTTTGAAATATTTAGATGTCATATTTTATGCATAATCACCCAGTTTTTAATTGTATTTTGTCCATCGATCCACAAGTTTTCTGAGTCTATTAAAATAATACATTTTATATTTCGGTTGAGCCTTAAGTCATTCTTACGCTGCTTCTTTCCTTGACTTATGCACATTTCAGATAACAGTTTTATCAGCGCTGACTCTTCCGTTATCTAGGATAACGCAGATCGATCTGTTTCTTAACCTCTGCACATGTTACAGTCGATAGTCGCATGGAACGAGCATCAGCAACACTCGTCCGCCCTCCTCTGAATCTTTTCACCCATTTGTAAACTTTCCTCTCACTTTTACAGTTGCCAGAATTCTGAACTGTAATTCTTTTCTCTTTTTTTTTCTTTCGTGGATTTGACAAGTTTTCAAATATCGTGATCACAAAAATATCGTCACTGATTAATGTTGTTCTTTGGTGCATCTGTCAATGTAGCCACCACGTTGAACTTGTTGCAGTTTGTTGCAGTGATATCTCTATCCGAAAAGCAATGTAAACAAACTATATGCAAATGAGGGAAGGTTTATATTGTTTATAGCAGACGTCAGTGCCGCTAACGTCGCTTCGTAGATAAACTAAATGCTTTTCCTCTTTAATTTTAACCAAGGCGTGTTTTTGCCGCGGTTTAAGCACGAACACCAACTTATCCATATGTCAGAGTGATAATGTAAGGACCTCCTTTCATCTGTCCATGTGCAGCCTCCGTCTCAGCACCACCCTGCAGAACCACCGTTAGCGCCACCGATGAAATCGTACACGCCACTTGGAGCGCTGTCCAACATGCAGCCTCCTGGTGCTGCCGTAGTGGGCGGTCCACCGCCTCCGCATCACCACCACCATCCACACGCACATCCGCACGCACATGCTCCGCCATGTAATGTGCCACCCCAGCAACCGCCCCCGCACCGTGGAGGTCCCATCAATCCTGGGGTTGGCCCGGTGCACCCACCTATTTCACCTCTTGGCCGTCGACATGGATGCAGCAGCGCTTTCTCCGCTCCGCCTCCACCGCCCACGGCTGCTTACGGACCACCGCCACAGCATCCACAGCCACCTCATCACCACCATCCACTCCCTCCCCAAGGCCAACAAGATCCGACATACATTCACGGTAAGTACACTGGCAAGTACCAGATGCTTTCTTCTGTCCCGATAACTAACATGTCTGAAGATGGGTCCTAGTAACCCCTTGAGAACCGCCACGGTGGTCTAGCGGTCAGAACGCTGGGCTTGTATACCTGGGATCCCGGGTTCGATTCCCGGTTTTGCCCGGATTTATAACTTGTGTTGGGCAAGGCCGTGGTCCAGGTATCACGGAGTTTTCCTCAGGGGCTTCCCCGGTTTCTCCGTGGCATCCCAACAATTACTCCTTTCTCATCATCATTTACACACAGAAGAAGACAATGACAAACCACTTCTGGATCGTTTGCCGAGGAAACATATGAACAGGTCCCTAGCAGAGGGAACTTGTTCATAATGTCGCCAGGGGTCGGCTCCGACCCGATGGAGGGATCCGTAAGAACGTACAGAGGAAAAGGGCAATGAAATTACTTTTTGGTAATGTTTGTACGTTCTTAATATTGCGTAAACTGGAAAGTTTTGAAATGTTGTTGATCTTAACATGAGAAAGCAATGTGAGTTTCTTAAGTGGTCTGCGTCGGACACAAAACGAAGAAGCCATCGTACTTTTTCATTAATAATTGATATTGAAAGTTAACATCGAGGGGCAAGTAAACAGTTGGAAGGAAATGTGTTCCGTTATAAAGTTTTTTTTGACCTCTCATTAATTCAGCGGATGACTGAAAATAAACAAAAGCCATGATTTTTATTTATTCTTTGTCTAATAACTGAGACAGGCGTTTAATTTTTTTGTGTAGGAACTCAGCAATACATTGAAAAGTTCTGTGAAAATTATTTAGTGCTCGTTGTTACTTTTCATCGATACTTTTAAATATGACTTTAATTTTATTTTATATCAAAGTTTAATCCAGGATAAAAAGCAAAGATTAATCTTTTAACCGGGAAATTTCACGCGTCACTCACTTAACCCTTTAAAACACAGTCGTAAATATATCGATGACCTGCTTCAGCGATCACCAACTCAGAATTTTGCTCACAGAGTGTATTTACGGGTTCGTGTTACTATCAAAATAAGCAATCGTTAGTTTTCTATACAGCATTGATTAGTTGGCCTTTGTACGGTGACACATTGTGTTTTGTTTGAAGTAGGAACAGAATGTATAAGTATTATTTAGTTTTTCGGCATCAGTGCGCTGATCTTTGAGTGGAAGTTATGCTAGTTTCATGTTGGCATATCCGAACTTTCACGAGTACATTATACATTACAAAAGGAAAACTCGTTGAACGTTTGAACACACATGAGTAAACGATTAAGATTTATAAACGCTTTGAGACAGTACGAAGTTACTTTGGAATAGTTTATTCATTAGTGGAAGTTTCAGGAATAAACGACGTCAGAATGCTTGGAGTTTTCCATAAAGAAGTCTGTGTAAGAAGGGCTTGGGGCTTATGTCAGGCCACGACTCATCTTTAATCTGTATACGAAGAAACTGTATTTGAACGTCGGCACACTTACGAATTTTTTTTATATTTGTGTGTGTTATTTTCTCTTTGTTCTGATGCGAAATTAAAATCTTTGTACTTCCGTTATTTAGACGGTTCGTTACCGGTCCGCGCAGTCTCCGGAGTGTGGGTTCGTGTTTTTAACCCCACGGCTTCGTGGAGGTATTTAACTGTCGTGTTTCTCTTGCAGTTTCCAACTTTGCCTTCTAGTCATCTTTAAAACGCCGAAGATTAAATTATATGCAACTATAACTTTCTTGTGAACGGCGAGAAACTTGTTATCTGGCCCTAAGGGGCTAACAGAGATTGAAGATTTTAAACCCGAAGACGTTCTAAGAGAATTTTTACTTGTGAGAATTTATGTGTCTGTATAATGGATAACACTGTGTGACTAAGTGATTATTACTCCTCACTTGGTGTTATTAGGTAGTAACTGGGTCACAGAGGGGTAAAACAAGAAATCCGTATGGATCTTTGGCGTTGAAACCTCGTACAAAGAGTCTCTTGGAAGAGTGATCATTTGTTTTTCATACTACGACTTGTTTAGGTACAATTATTTTAACGTAATATGTAAGAAACGCTACGGTGGTCTAGCGGTTAGAACGCTGGCCTTGTAATCCTGGGGTCCCGGGTTCGATTCCCGGCGGTTCCCGAATTTATAACTTGTGTTGGGCAAGGCCGTGGTCTAGGCAACACGGAGTTTTCCTCCGGGGGCTTCCCAACAATTACTCCATTCACACACAGAAGAAGGCAATGGCAAACCACTTCTGGATCATCTGCCAAGAACGTATATGAACAGGTCCCAGTCCGAGAAAAGGATGGAAGGATCCTGTTCATATGGACCTGTCGCCAGACAGAACACTAAATAAAATAAATAAATAATATGTAAGAAGCCATGAAAGCAATTAAATTGGTATATTCTGACAAAGGCCAGTGGATGTAAAACTTATAAGAGTGATGAAGTCACTGGCTAATGGTGACAATGGTGATGCCACAAAGAAGAATGTTCTGTTGAATGAATATTTCCGTTTCTGGCCTAGGATGAGATATAGAAATATTAATTATTCCAATTCTTTGATTCGCCATGTTACGTCGTTAAAGTTTAAAATTTATAGAATAATTAATGTATTGGGTCTGTCATTTCCGGTGTCTACTTGTGGATTTATGTTTCGATATACTCGTTTTATGCTCTAAAATCAGTGTGTATTTTAGATGTGTGAACGTAATTTGAAGATCCCTAGAGTGGTGATTGTACGTTGATGAGATTTGCAAATGGAATGGGCGCAGCTACATTGTGTGCAGTAACTCTTTTTTTTTCGTGAATAATTGATTGGGAAGAAATAATGGGGAAATAAATACGTGTAATCGTGGTTCTAGTTGTAATGGGAGTTTCACATGTTAGTGGACTTCCAGTTGTCCGTCTTCATCATAAGTGTTTGTTTTGTGCTTCAATAGCCCTGTTATACCTTAACTCTTCGCCAAAAACAGTAATGAAGTGTGAAAGTGAGCATGATTTCATCCATTCTGACAAGACAAATCGCATTTTGCGCGGTAACATCACGTGAGATCAGTCAGCACCCTGAAATTTTTTCTTTTCTGCAATTACCGAGTTTCAGAAGATAAACGTCAGTGGAAGGAAAAGAGTATTTGTTACCCCACAACAGCTTTGACCGAACTGTACGTAGAGATGATGATGTTTACGAAATAAATAATTTCCGTCCTGAAAGAATTTGGCCTCCAGTATCACATCTGAATCGGAACAGTTTTTCTTGTTTGAAAGGTTACATTGTGACGGACTTCACATGTACGCGCCTTCAGTCCCCAAATAAGGGTATCTAAGAATATATTTCGAGATACATTTCATTAATTTAGGGCATGGCTGATCCCTTGCATTTCACGGACCACATAAACCGTTGTATTCGAGCCTCGTACCATTCCCATTGCCTCGTAATTGATGTGTAGGATCCACTTCGATTTTGATGCTTGCAGAAACAGCGCAGCTCATTCAATATACGCCTATAATTCATAAAGAAAGCCTAATGTTTTTCGTAAATGTCGAATTATTGCAGCTTTTGAAAGATATTTTTATATCCTATATTTTTCCCTAGATGTATGAATTTACTTTCATTGCATCATACGCCTTTTTTGGCGTGGTACTGGAGCAAATTTTCATTTTCGTTTGCCTTTCTTAGGTTGGTTAACAGGGTTTGTAATTATATATGGCAGCAGAACACAGAAAACCGCTGGCATTCGTGTATTTTCATGGATTTTCAACCCTCGCCACTGAAGTGATTAGAACTATATAATTTCTTACATCAACGACGGATATCAGGAATGTTGTTTCATATGCAGGATTACAGCGCATGGAACTCTCCGTCTTTTAGACGAAAATTCTACAAGTTTGCACGGTAACAGTGTTTTATTATCCTTGTCACTTTAGGAAGTGTTCTTTCAGTATTATTTCACTCATCTTGAGTTTCATGCTATACCACGTAACACTCTTCGGTTGGACTATGAGAATATTCATATCTGTCAAGAAAAAGTACTTTCCCCTTGACACGTGTCATGTATCCTATAAAAAGAAAAAATGAAACAGACACAAGTCGGTCACCTGCGAGAATGTTTAAAAAATAAAAATATCACACTCTGAGAGAGAATGCAGAAGTTGTAGCCGGTAACAGAATTTACATCAGTCTGCCGTGTACCTGCAGCATTACGCTAAAACATTAAGTTCTGCTTTCTTTAATTTGTTTCAGTGTATACTTTGAAGCTAGTAGTTGAAGTTATTCAACTCACTGATCAATTTCCGTGCATAATTTACATTAGTACGAATTCTATCTGTTTAAAATGTTCCCGATTTAGCATCTAAGTTTTACACTATTTGTAACGAATAATGGATGGGCGGTAAATTGCCTGCAGACACAGGATTTGAGGAAAGGGAGTGAAAATGCTTCATTGGCAGTGCCTACTATCGTCTCCTGTTGTTATAACACTTAATGCTGATGACAAAGACAAACATTCCTTTATATGTGCGAAACGTGGACTGTAAATACAAATTTATCATAATTAAATAATAATACCTAAAGCCAATGGCAGGTTGCTTTTATGTGGATTAGGCGAGAAATTAGTAGAACGGCAAGCAGCTAATTTAACCGATAAAATGTGTTGCTTGGCTGTAGCAGACATCGGATTGAACATCTGGAGTCTGAGAAATGATGGTGTCCCTAGAATTTTGAATTCGCAATGAAAAGAAGAATAAAAAGGTAGTCTGACCAAAATAAATGAATCCGGGGCATTCTGAACTATGACCTCATTCTGTAAGGTAGCGCGTAAGAATAGCTCGCTGTGGAATTCGATCCAGGAATTTCCGGATGCAAGCGACTGGCTTTGCTGCACAGTTAGCTTGTTCCACAACGTGCTTTATTTGTGTACACGTAATGCTTATCGTTTATGGACGTCTGACAAGAAACAAGGAGAGAAAGTCTTTCGCCGTAACAACTCATCGGCATGTAGTGGATATGTACTTTC